CCCCAAAACCCCAAAACCCCAAAACCCCACACCTATCGGTTAATATAGAAAATAGAATAATTTATCATAATAAATGGAAAACTTGGTCGAGTCAGTGAAGAGAGACAATACTCGCATTGCTGAGTAAGCTAACCCCAGACCTAAGAGGGTACCTTAGAGCACATCTTTAATAGCTTCATTTGTAGTTTCAAAGAACAATAATATCTAAGCAACCTTTGGTGAATTTTTAAATAGAAGTTTTGAACTGTGGGAGCAAATGTATCCACCCTTTTATACTCTCCCTTCAAGTCCTATATGGTCTTTATAAAGTGAAATGGCCCTAATTTGGTATATTTCAGGATACTTAAGGAATCTACAGACTGTAAATACTCAGATAATCCTCTGTATTACCATTAAAGATTTGGAGTTGAAATTGTAGCATAAAAGGAATTTAACACCCTCTGAAATTTAGATTATAAACCATTTGCAGACGATATTAGGTTAAATATCTTTTATTGCTAATTGGCAGATACCTGATCTAAGCCAGATAAATACAAAAAGTCTCTTCTCTTTATTGCTATAACTGAACTTTCATCGAACTTTGGTTGATATAGCTAATATTATAGAGTGGAGAACATGACTTCCAGTGAAAACAACCAAGTCGGATAAATGGCTTGAAACGCGTATTATTTTCAGTGTTTTTGAGCAGAATTTGGTAATCTTGATCCTTATTATGAGTATATTATAAAATAAAGCTCCGCATATGAGTTTTAGATTTAAACGTTATTTAGACAGAAAATTTGTAGAGAAAATCAACTTTTGGAATCACTAATTTCTAATAATATTAATTTGTTTCAAATGAAAGCGAAGAGTAAAAATAATGTTGGTTTCCTTGACTTCTCATATCCTCAAAAGATGGTTTGTTTATTTATTAATTCTAACTGATATCCCTCTTGGAGCATTTCTAATGTCCTGGAATCAATTATAAAGATCAGTCCAAGAGTGTTGAATGAGGTACAGATCTTTTACTTTAAAATCAATGCTCCCCAGCTCAAGATAGTAGTGGCTTCATATAAGTATATTCAAAGAATAAACATAAGATGCAGTGAACTCTCAATTTCTTCAGCCATCAACTTTTCTCAGTCTTTGAGAATACAAAGATCAAAGAGCTTGACTTCTTTTCTTCAGGAAGCCCAATGTTTTCTATCTCCAAAAGTTCCCTTCAAGAGTTCATGAATCTAATCCAAGGATTAGCTTCAACTCCAGACTTGAAGCAGAGTCTTCGAGGGCATATATGCAGTCGATTGTAACGTCCAAAAGAGTCAAATCAAAGAGTTTCTGGACAATTATGAATTTTATGATGTCAAAATTATTACATAAAAGTAGTCACCATTTTAGATATTATTTTCACCTCTAAAAGTTCACAGCTATCATAGAGTCGATGTTCTGCACGATTAAGCCACGCCATTGCTTACCAGGAGGCATTCTGTTAAACCTTAGATATCTTGCTTTCTTCATTCATTGAGATTATTTCTATGGGGAAATCTTTTTGTGTCAAGTCATTGAGATTCGGATATAAAATGACTGCATATCAAGAAGCCGGAATGCTTATGGTTGTCCTTAGCCTATAATTCCTAGGGGGAATAATTATCATTAGAACACATTCAATAAGTATTTACCTTAAAAGTTGGTGCCATTTAGTCCTTATCATTTGTTATTATTGCTAAGGGGTTTTGGGGTTTTGGGGTTTTGGGG